CACATGGGAAAGTCCGGTTCTTAATTTATAACGTACCCCAAACACGAAATCCCCGTGGGAAATCCACAGCTGACCTGACAGTCCATTATTTCAAGGGGTGGAAGTGTGCTGTTGTGTAGTGCTTTTTTTTGAGTGTTCATCTAGTGTCTTCTAATGCTAACCCTAACCCTAAGCCTAAGCCTAACCCTTAACTTGGCTGTAGATAAATCGCGAGAAACTACAACCTGAACACCCTAGAATTTATTGGGAATATCTCCCGTGACGTTGTCGTGACGTCAGGGGTAAGTTATAAATTAAGTACCGAAAGTCGAACGCCATCAAGAATGACGGAGATAAATTAAAAGGACCCTTTTTCCACGCCTTCAGATGTTTTAGGCATATGGGGTCGTACCTTATTTTGTATATACCAATCGGCATTTGGTGGGTGATATTGTCAGCATGACGTCGGCCTCCCTTACCTCCCAGGACTGCACCTGGCACACACTCAAGGCTGGGTCGACCTAGAGCCATGGTCATTTTTGAACTAAATCAGGCCCCGTCAGGACCCGAACGACGACCTTCCAATCCACAGGCAAACTATTTATCCGCTACTGCGACACCACATGGAGGTAGATGATGATACAGTTTATATATGACAACACCAGGAGGTGGAGGAGCAATGGTTTCGGAGACTGTACACCCGAGACAAGAGACTCAGGGTGTTGGAGGTTCATTTATCCAACCTTCTTTGTGAAGACGCCGTCTGATTGATACTTGTTATCACCGACCATAGTTGTTTTTTTCGAAGCTCCTTGGACCTCGCCTTTTATTCTGGAACCTGGTAAATGATTCGTTTTCGTGTTAGCAATGTCACACTCCATTCTGTACTGGCGGTCATTTAATGTAATATCTTCTAATGCTGCCACATCTGCTAATGTAATGTTACACTGTGTTACCACCAAAACTAATGTAATGTTACACAGTTCTACCATATCTGCTGATGTAATATTATATTGTGTTACCACATCTGCTAATGTAATGTTACATTATGCTACCACCAAAACTAATGTAATGTTACATTGTGCTACCACCAAAACTAATGTAATGTTACATTGTGCTACCACCAAAACTAATGTAATGCTTCACAGTTCTACCATATCTGCTGATGTAATGTTATATTGTGTTACATCTGCTAATGTAATGTTACATTGTGTTACCACCAAAACTAATGTAATGTTACATTGTGTTACCACCAAAACTAATGTAATGTTACACAGTTCTACCATATCTGCTGATGTAATGTTATATTGTGTTACCACATATACTAATGTAATGTTACATTGTGCTACCACGTCTATTAATGTAATGTTACGTGTCAGTGTTTGTAACAATAAATTACATTCAGTACCTTGATGTGAACAGGGCGTTTTTTGTCAGCCTTTCATTGAAGATTTAGCTTTCAGACTATCCTTGTGTGAAAGTCCTATCTTGGACACATGGATATAGATGATTACAGAGGTGAAATAGAAATAAGAAAGAGAATATGAATGGCTAAAAACTGTCCTCAGAAAGATATGAAAATAATCGACAGCTATAAAGATAAACAACACATACCAAAAAGTAGTGTCAAATGTTATGTGTACTCAACCCAGCTGTATGGTGGAGAAGCTTAGACACTAAACAAGTCTTGAAGAAAACCGAACTGAGTCTCTGGAAATGTGGATACACAGAAGAAGGGTCGGATTTCATGGAGACAAAAACAATCAAATACCTAGGTTCTGGAAAGACTGAGATTAAAAAGAACATTTTTTTATAGAAACAAAAAAAAAGAGAATTTAAATGTTTTGACCACTTAAAAAGACATAATAGGTTTTTAAAAAACCATACCAAAGGGTAGGTCGAAGGCAAAAAGCATGAGGTAGACAACGTTACAAATGGGAGAACAACATCTAGGGAGGGGCGAACAGACGTCTTAGTTAGTGCACCACTAAGAAAAGAGACAGTGCGTGTTGTGAAGATCCAATGCAGACCACCTTATTTGTGAAGAGGGCAAATGGCTGATGGTGAAATAAGACAGTATAGCAACTTTGGAACCAACTTGACATACATTTATTAGCAACAATTACACCTTCGCAAAAGAGACGTGCAAGAACGTGCCACCAAGAAATGCGGAGATGACAGAATCCTGAGTGTACTGCAGGATCGATCCATATCCTTCTAGCAGAGCTTAGATCAAAAAGCCAGAGTAAGTACAGAGCGGTGGATCTAAGCAGGGCAACGACACGGCAGCGTACCAGACAATAACAACATTAACCAGGCCACACAAAGACACGAGGTACCCCATTATAGAGGATAAGAACAGACAAGTCCTTAATGAGAAAACAGGAAAATTGGAGAGATAGATGCAATTTTATAAGGACTTCCATAATCAAAGATTATACTTTTCCTTTTCATAATAAAGAGCAGAACCGGACACTACAGCCCCTGACAGCATGGCATGGAGAACAGAAAAGGCGATTTTGAAATAATGATATAAAAACGTTGAGGATGCGATACATTCACTAAAGGAGGGAAATCGCCAGGTCTGGACAATGTCCCAGTGGAACTTTTGAAATATGGAGGAGAACACATAACTAAGGTGGTGACAGGGGTATGCTAGAGAATGTGGGTGACACAAAAATGGGTTACTGAATGGACAGAATTGTTGGTGATACCACTGCCAAACAAAGGAAATCTGAAAAGCTGCAACAGTTATAGAGCAATTAGTCGTATCACCCATGCAAGCAAAATAACGATAAAGATATTGCTTTACAGATTGAAAGCAAATTCGGAAGAAATACTAGCCGAACAGGTGGGTTTCCGGAAAATAGAAGCGCCACGGAACAAATCTGCAATGTCAGAACAATGAGAGAAAACAACTCACAACATCAACATAAATATATTGGCTTCATGAAAGCGTTTGACCGTGTGTGGCATGCTGAGCTCTGGCAAAAAATGAGAAATTTCAAGTGGTAAAACGTTGCAGGCTAGCTTGATTCGGTCACGTGGAGCGTCATGATTCGATTGTAAGGACTACTTTAAGGAACACTAAAGGGGGTAGTCGAAGAAAAGAAGCTGCGTCCATCAATACACTTCCATGATCTTAACAGGTCAAGAGCTATGCTATTTTATAAAGAGTTCAGAGACAAAAGCTAACGGGGCTAAATTAAACACAGGCTGTGGGTGACCGGCGGCGACCCTAGAGTCATCGTCCTGTTGATGACCGGCGGCTACCTTAGACTCATTGTCCTGTTGATGACCGGCGGCTACCTTAGACTCATTGTCCTATTGATGACCGGCGGCGACCCTAGAGTCATCGTCCTGTTGATGACCGGCGGCTACCTTAGACTCATTGTCCTGTTGATGACCGGCGGCGACCTTAGACTTATCGCCTTGTTGTTGACCGGCTGCTACCTTAGACTCATCGTCCTGTTGATGACCGGCGGCTACCTTTGACTCATCGTCCCGTTGATGACCGGCGGCGACCTTAGACTTATCGTCTTGTTGATGACCGGCGGTTACCTTAGACTCATCGTCCTGTTGATGACCGGCGGCTACCTTAGACTCATCGTCCTGTTGATGACCGGCGGCTACCTTAGACTCATCGTCTTGTTGATGACCGGCGGCTACCTTAGACTCATCGTCCTGTTGATGACCGGCGGCGACCTTAGACTTATCGTCTTGTTGATGACCGGCGGCTACCTTAGACTTATCGTCTTGTTGATGACCGGCGGCTACCTTAGACTTATCGTCTTGTTGATGACCGGCGGCTACCTTAGACTCATTGTCCTGTTTATGACCGGCGGTTACCTTAGACTCATCGTCTTGTTTATGACCGGCGGCTACCTTAGACTCATTGTCCTGTTTATGACCGGCGGTTACCTTAGACTCATCGTCCTGTTGATGACCGGCGGCTACCTTAGACTCATTGTCCTGTTTATGACCGGCGGCTACCTTAGACTCATTGTCCTGTTGATGACCGGCGGTTACCTTAGACTTATCGTCCTGTTGATGACCGGCGGCTACCGTAGACACATCGCCCTGTTGATGACCGGCGGCTACCTTAGACTCATTGTCCTGTTTATGACCGGCGGTTACCTTAGACTTATCGTCCTGTTTATGACCGGCGGCGACCGTAGACTCATCGTCCTGTTGATGACCGGCGGCGAGCTCAGACACATTGTCCTGTTTATGACCGGCGGCTACCTTAGACTCATTGTCCTGTTGATGACCGGCGGCTACCTTAGACTCATCGTCCTGTTGATGACCGGCGGGTACCTTAGACTCATCGTCCTGTTGATGACCGGCGGCTACCTTAGACTCATCGTCCTGTTGATGACCGGCGGCTACCTTAGACTCATCGTCCTGTTGATGACCGGCGGCTACCTTAGACTCATCGTCCTGTTGATGACCGGCGGCTACCTTTGACTCATCGTCCTGTTGATGACCGGCGGCTACCTTAGACTTATCGTCCAGGCGAGACTCAATGTTTAACATGGCTGAAGTCGAACGTAGAAGAAGAATATAGACCAATCGGTTTTCGATAGATGATGTCCATATAGTGTGGGCGATGGTAGGTCATCATATCCTGCGATTCCCTCAGGCCTCGGAGTTGGAATGAAGAGGGAAGGGGGAGTTGAGGTAGTTTCAAGGGGGCATCAGGTAATTTTAAAACTAAGTTCATTTGTATTTGTAATAATGCGAATTTTCAGCTGTAACAGCCACAACAATAAAACAGCGCAGACAGCTTGATGTAGAGAATGATCTCCCTTTCGCCTTGTCCAACATCAGACAAAAGATATCCTCAAGACGAAACGTTGTCAGCCATCACAGGAATATTAAGGCATAAGTTGTTGGTGAGGATTTCTTGTGATATTTGACACTGTGATTTATGTCACTTTCATGTGAGCAGTGCTTGTGATTTTTCTCGTGTGTCCCCCTCGTATTAATCACATTTTGTTTTGTTGAGAGTTGGGCGGGAGGTATGCGATGTTGACATGCACCCAGATAGAAAGCACTGCCTTAAAGGATTCGTCCCATCTTGTTCTGACACTCTTTCGTCTAAAGAAGGCCGCCAAGAAAATCCTCCTGCCATTATCTGCCTCCATCTCAACTTCCATAAATTACTTTGCCTGACACATGTTCCAGCTCCTTTCTGGCAAAACATGATTAACAGCTATTTTTTATTTTGGGAATAAGTTCTCTTTTTGCATCTGAGCGCCATTAAAAACATTTAGAATACCCGCATTAACTAGCGAATACATTGTTCAGAATTCCCCGGCAATGCAACATTGCCACGGCCTTGGTCAATGTTTACTTTGCTTAGGAACTGTTCATTACCCATAGACATGTGTCAAAACTGGTAGCATGCAGCACTCAAGAATAGGCCTACTCGTTGCAACCTCTAATCCCAGGGCTTCACTGATTCAAACATTTCCTCCAGGAATAATAATTAAACAGTAAAGTAATATTTACAAATTTAAAATATCAGATAAACAATATAATTAAGTAATATTACACAATTAATCAAGGTAATCATCATCATATAAGACACACAGAAGGTAGTCTTAAAAATCATCATGTCACGTGGTCACGTGGCTAGACGCTAGGCTGTGGATCGGAAGGTAGTGGGTTCAGTTCCTGACAAGGCCGGATTTTTATTTTTAAAACAATTACTTTTGCTCCTTGTTCGACCCAGTCTTAAGTGGGTACCAGGTACAGACCTGGGAAGTAAAGGCGGCCGATGTGATCTTGACCACATCCCAGACGAAGTGCCGTTTGGTCCATGAAATTTAAATCTAGCTCTATATACCCAATACGACTGACAGGCGTGGAAAAAGGTTTTTTTTTTTTGTTTTCTTTTCTTTTCTTTTTTCTTTCTTTTTTGTTGTTGTTGTTGTTATCTGTGACTCCACTGATCATGACATTATTGTTAACAATTCCCTTTTTAAGCTTCCGGGACAAGACACCTGTTGGCCTAAACAAAAGATTACACTGGTCAACAACCAGAATGTACCAAAAACAAAAACAGATAAAAACAGGGACATTTAAACAGTTTTGATTTACTAGTTTCCAAGATATATGCCACTAGTTTATTTAATTACGGTCACTTTATATATACATTTATAATGCAACTGCTTCGTGATGTCGGGGTGCCTGGTTCGAACCCAGCTGCGGAAGATTTGTCGTGCGTTGGTTTCGACAGTGGTATCAAGCACTGACCGTTTAGTAAGCAATGGCAAACTACTGAACGTAAAATTTGCCTAGAAAAAACAAAACAGCCAAAAAATGCTGGGGTTGGTTCTGCAACGTCCCGTAAAGGATACACAACTAACTTTTATAATGCAACTGTTGTTGCGGTTGTGTGTGTGTTTTTTTTTTTCTAGTGTTAGATAGAAATGTAAATAGAAGCTGATGATGGAATCCGACCTATAAATAGGTCACTTTGCTTTTTAATCTATTCTCTCGTTTACAGTTCTTGCCATTAGTGCATTTATCCGTATCAAAAGTATTGCAATTACAAATGTTTAGGACATGTGTAAGCAGGGCAGATAATTTTTGTTGTAAATGTGGTAAGGTAAAATTTCTGTAACAAAAACGAAACATAACCAAAGTGATTCAGAAGGCGTGCAGTTTGTATTTAGGCTGCAGAATAGAAGACAAGGATGACAGGTAAGAGTCACACAGATGCTCCAACACATTTGCACATCAAAAGCTAGGCTATTGACTGGCGAACGGCAAGATACGATATTTGTAGATCCAGTGATTTACACAGTCAACTGATCACTTCAACAACTGTTAATTTTGAATGGTCCGTCCAACCGGGAAAGGCATATCAAAGAACAACAAATTGGCTCTGGGGGATGCAAACATCACCTCTACAATACGCCCGATACCGCATAGCGTTGGCCTGCCATTTTCCAGACGGCCAGAATTTTCAACTGCTTGCACTGATAAAGAAGATTACATGGTGGCCTTGAAACACCAGTCTCAGTCGTCCTAGATTCTTAGCAAACTCAACCACACTTAAAAACAGAAATAGAACGGAATGATCTTGTAAGGGACTTGAATTTACAGAGGAAAAGGCGGAGCTTCCGGGTTCCATATTGCAACAGTGAACTCTTTTGGCAAAAGATGTTAGAATTGTGTGCATAGAGACCCCCGAAAGCCGCTTATTCCACCTTTTTATTTTTGGAAAGAGGCGCCTTTCTGCGTCAGCAACATTTGAGTGTTAATGGAAGCCCTAATGTCAGCTATAAACCGGAATAGTGGTTTTTGATTTATTGTCTAAGGTGATGCGTTAACGCATCGTTACTCCGACCCGGTGACGTCAGCAGCACGGACCTTCAGTTGGAGCCGGTCGTGCTTGAACCCTAGACAAGCGTATGCAAAATTAGCTAATTCAAATAAACGTTGAGATGTCAGTAGAATTCATAAAGATTGTTATAGTTTCATTCAATATGTATAATTTTGCTTGTATATGGTAATTAGACGCTTTTTCTCTGTTAAATGTTACGTGTAAACTAAGCGAACAAGAGAATCGCCTCCTGAAATTTCGTCTTATTGGCACTGGAACTCAAAAACTGCTCCGTCTCCAAAGGGTTAAGGGTGATAAACAGCACAGTCTGATTCAAATAGGCTCAACAATGTTTTCATGAATAAACTAACATTATTTTAATAATGAAGAAAAAATCAGTGAATTCTTTTAGCTGATTCTTTGCAAAAAACATTGGGAGCTCTTAAGCCGACTATTTGAACTACATGTATGCACATATGTTGTGTACATTTACAGGACTTGTCTCCCCAAAAATGTCAAACTCAAAAACAAACACAAACAGAGAAAAGGTGATTGAATTAGATAGAACCAGACAGATAAGTAAGCCATAAAAGCGATGCAAGGCTTTCTGTATTTTATTTTAAATTGCGACTTTTCAACAGATGCAAAAATTGAGTGACGATGAAATCAAATTTAAAGCCAGGATATATACAAGTGATTAGAGTGTCTTCCCGGGGATATATGTGCGTCCTGCTTCAAGAAAATTAGGTAGTCGTGCGGTGCTTGGGGATATTGTAGTGCTTAGGGATGTTGTGGTGTTTGGGGATGTTGTGGTGTTAGGGGATGTTGTAGTGCTTAGGGATGTTGTGGTGTTTGGGGATGTTGTAGTGTTTATGGATATTGTAGTGCTTAGGGATGTTGTGGTGTTTTGCTATGTTGTGGTGTTTGGGGATATTGTAGTGCTTAGGGATGTTGTGGTGTTTTGCTATGTTGTGGTGTTTGGGGATATTGTAGTGCTTAGGGATATTGTAGTGCTTAGGGATGTTGTGGTGTTTGGGGATATTGTAGTGCTTAGGGATATTGTAGTGCTTAGGGATGTTGTGGTGTTTGGGGATATTGTAGTGCTTAGGGATATTGTAGTGCTTAGGGATATTGTAGTGCTTAGGGATATTGTAGTGCTTAGGGATATTGTAGTGCTTAGGGATGTTGTGGTGTTTGAGGATATTGTAGTGCTTACCGATATTGTAGTGCTTAGGGATATTGTAGTGCTTAGGGATATTGTAGTGCTTACCGATATTGTAGTGCTTAGGGATATTGTAGTGCTTAGGGATATTGTAGTGCTTAGGGATGTTGTGGTGTTTGGGATATTGAAGTGCTTAGGGATATTGTAGTGCTTATGGATGTTGTAGTGTTTGGGGATGTTGTGGTGTTTGGGGATATTGTAGTGCTTATGGATGTTGTGGTGTTTGGGGATGTTGTGGTGTTTGGGGATGTAGTGGTGTTAAGGGATATTGTGGTCTTTGGGGATGTTGTGGTGTTTGGGGATGTTGTGGTGTTTGGGGATGTTGTGGTGTTTGGGGATGTTGTGGTGTTTCGGGATATTGTAGTGCTTAGGGATGTTGTAGTGCTTAGGGATGTTGTGGTGTTTGGGGATTTTGTAGTGCTTAGGGATGTTGTGGTGCTTGGGGATGTTGTGGTGTTTGGGGATGTAGTGGTGTTAAGGGATATTGTGGTGTTTGGGGATGTTGTGGTGTTTGGGGATGTTGTGGTGTTTGGGGATGTTGTGGTGTTTGGGGATGTTGTCGTATTTGGCAATGTTCTGGTCTTTGGGGATGTTGTGGTGTTTGGGGATGTTGTGGTGTTTGGGGATGTTGTAGTGTTAAAGGATATTATGGTGTTTAGGGATGTTGTTTAGGGATGTTGTTTAGGGATGTTGTTTAGGGATGTTGTTTAGGGATGTTGTTTAGAGATGTTGTTTAGGGATGTTGTGGTGTTTAAAGATATTGTTTAGGAATGTTGTGGTGTACAGAGAAGTTCTGGTGCAGATTTTTACTCTTGGCTTTTAATGTCTGGTATTTTTTGTATACACTTTTCTTTTTTGGGGGGGGGGGGGAGGGGGGGGGGGGTTACTTCTGTACTTTAAAAATGTACAAATCAATTGCACCTGGCAGGAAAAACTGAGAATGAACAATCCCACCAAACAGACGAAACTACATAAGAATTATTGTCATTTTCTAAACAATCGGTGACAGTGAAATCTAGGAGTCACAGCTGAAATCTGCAACCCCAATTGATACCAGCCTGGTTTGGTCTGTGAACAGCAACTCCAGCTGATACCAGGCTGGTTTGGTCTGTGCCCCTACAGCAACCCCAGCTTATACCAGGTTTGTTTGGTCTGTGCCCGAACAGCAACTTTAGCTAATACCTGGCTGGTTTGGTCTGTGCCCGCACAGCAACTCCAGCTGATACCTGGCTGGTTTGGTCTGTGCGCGTACGGTAACTCCAATTGATACCAGGCTGGTTTGGTCTGTGCCTGAACAGCAACTCTAACTGATACCAGGCTGGTTTGGTCTGTGCCTAAACAGCAACTCCAACTGATACTAGGCTGGTTTGGTCTGTGCCTGAACAGCAACTCCAACTGATACCAGGCTGGTTTGGTCTGTGCCTAAACAGCAACTCCAGCTGATACTAGGCTGGTTTGGTCTGTGCCTGAACAGCAACTCCAACTGATACCAGGCTGGTTTGGTCTGTGCCTAAACAGCAACTCCAACTGATACCAGGCTGGTTTGGTCTGTGCCTGAACAGCAACTCCAACTGATACCAGGCTGGTTTGGTCTGTGCCTGAACAGCAACTCCAACTGATACCAGGCTGGTTTGGTCTGTGCCTAAACAGCAACTCCAACTGATACCAGGCTGGTTTGGTCTGTGCCTGAACAGCAACTCCAACTGATACCAGGCTGGTTTGGTCTGTGCCTAAACAGCAACTCCAACTGATACCAGGCTGGTTTGGTCTGTGCCTGAACAGCAACTCCAACTGATACCAGGCTGGTTTGGTCTGTGCCCGAACTGATAGCAACTCCAACTGGTTTGGTCTGTGCCTAAACAGCAATCCAGCTGATACTGGCTGGTTTGGTCTGTACCTGAACAGCAACTCCAACTGATACCAGGCTGGTTTGGTCTGTGCTCCAACTGATACAGCAACTCCAACTGATACCAGGCTGGTTTGGTCTGTGCCTAAACAGCAACTCCAACTGATACCAGGCTGGTTTGGTCTGTGCCTGAAACAGCAACTCCAACTGATACCAGGCTGGTTTGGTCTGTGCCTAAACAGCAACTCAGACTCCAGGCTGGTTTGGTCTGATACTAGGCTGGTTTGGTCAAAGTTTACCTGAACAGCAACTCCAACTGATACCGTGTGGTTTGGTGTCTGTGCCTAAACAGCAACTCCAACTGATACTAGGCTGGTTTGGTCTGTGCCTGAACAGCAACTCCAACTGATACCAGGCTGGTTTGGTCTGTGCCTAAACAGCAACTCCAACTGATACCAGGCTGGTTTGGTCTGTGCCTGAACAGCAACTCCAACTGATACCAGGCTGGTTTGGTCTGTGCCTAAACAGCAACTCCAACTGATACCAGGCTGGTTTGGTCTGTGTCTGAACAGCAACTCCAGCTGATACCAGGCTGGTTTGGTCTGTGCCCCTACAGCAACCCCAGCTTATACCAGGTTTGTTTGGTCTGTGCCCGAACAGCAACTTTAGCTAATACCTGGCTGGTTTGGTCTGTGCCCGCACAGCAACTCCAGCTGATTTTTGGCTGGTTTGGTCTGTATAAGCAACCCCACACGCATACCAGCATTGTTTGGTCTGTGCCTGAACAGCAACGATACCAGGCTGGTTTGGTCTGTGCCTAAACAGCAGAGGAAACAGTCTACTCCAACTGATACTAGGCTGGTTTGGTCTGTGCCTGAACAGCAACTCCAACTGATACCAGGCTGGTTTGGTCTGTGCCTAAACAGCAACTCCAACTGATACTAGGCTGGTTTGGTCTGTGCCTGAACAGCAACTCCAACTGATACCAGGCTGGTTTGGTCTGTGCCTAAACAGCAACTCCAACTGATACCAGGCTGGTTTGGTCTGTGCCTGAACAGCAACTCCAACTGATACCAGGCTGGTTTGGTCTGTGCCTGAACAGCAACTCCAACTGATACCAGGGTGGTTTTGGTCTGTGCCTGAAACAGCAACTCCATGATACCAGGCTGGTTTGGTCTGTGCCTGATACAGTTGGTTTGGTCTGAGCTAAATGCACCAACTGATACCAGGCTGGTTTGGTCTGTGCCTGAACAGCAACTTCCAACATACCATACAGCAACTAATGCAGCTGATACCAGGCTGGTTTGGTCTGTGCCCGCACAGCAACTCCAACTGATACCAACTACATACACCAGTTAGATCAATGAGCTAAATGCACACTACATACACCAGTTAGATCAATATGCTAAATGCACACTACATCCACCAGTTAGATCAATGAGCTAAATGCACACTACATACACCAGTTAGATCAATGAGCTAAATGCACACTACATACACCAGTTAGATCAATGAGGTAAATGCACACTACATACACCAGTTAGATCAATGAGCTAAATGCACACTACATACACCAGTTAGATCAATGAGCTAAATGCACACTACATACACCAGTTAGATCAATGAGCTAAATGCTTGGCGCCGGCCTGGGTCGAGCAAGTACACAGGGGGCATGAATTGGTCGACATGAATACACACACCAGTAGTTTCAATTAGGTCATTATCCCGTTAGGAAGAGAATGTAGAGAGTGGTGTAACGGTATGGCAGAATTTGAGGTACAACAACTGGTACATAGAAAAGCTGATGCAGATGATGCAGTAATGTGCACCGATGGTTTTGTCCATCGGGTGTAAGATCTGGCTGGGGTTTTTCAGCTAGAATGAAGGGAACAATTGTTGCAGAACGAACTGTAGCTTTTTTATCTACATCTTCAAACATAAGGATGGAGGTGGAGGCAATCACTGAAGCTCTCATTTGAACAGTGGCAAACAACGTTACAGAGGAATTATTGTGTCTGATTCTCGGTCGCCATTGGAGAAGGTTCATAATGAACTAATGTGGCATGAGTAGATACCTTGCATCAGCACTGGTAGAGACAGAGCACTTATAGGTATGCCTGAAGTGTTATGATGTCGATTCTTAAATCAGTTAAGTTACGAGGCGCTTTACTAATCCTTTCATAGATGACTCCGCTGCTTACTATCACCGTCACACACACGGCGAACATGCACACACTTGAAATAATCCAAATGACCCAAATGGGAGGCTTGCGTCTTGTAAACGTTATCTGAAACAGAATGCGAAAAATGTACAATTGTTGAACAAGGATGACGAGAAGTCGTGGGGGGAAAAGGGGGGGGGGTGGAGTAGGAATCCGGGGCAGGTTTCCATTAAATGGCTCAGTTAATGGAAACAATTGCGCCTACCTGCAGCTTCAGACCCCGTCTGCTTAAACTCACCTCAAATTACCCGAGGTTTGAGCCCGCTGTTGAGTGGTTGTGATGTCAGGAGTTTTGGGGTTAGGCTAACTGGTCCTCTCTTTCCTGTCTTGTTGCAGCAATCTCTCTCTCCCTCCGTCTGTCTGTCTGTCTGTCCGTCTGTTCATTTATCTATCTATCTATCTATCTAATCTATCTATCTATCTATCTATCTATCTATCTATCTATCTATCTATCTATCTATCTATCTATCTATCTATCTATCTATCTATCTATCTATCTATCTATCTATCTATCTATCTATCTATCTATCTATCTATCTATCTATCTATGAATATCTATCTATCTATCTATCTGATCTAAGACATCTATCTATCTATCTATCTATCTATCTATCTATCTATCTATCTATCTATCTATCTATCTATCTATATATATCTATCTATCTATCTATCTATCTATCTATCTATCTATCTATCTATCTATCTATCTATCTATCTATCTATCTATCTATCTATCTATCTATCATCTATCTATCTATCTATCTATCTATATATATGTCTATCTATCTATCTATATCTATCTATCTATCAGTCTATCTATCTATCTATCTATCTATCTATCTATCTCTATATCTATCTATCTATCTATCTATCTATCTATCTATCTATCTATCTATCTATCTATCTATCTATCTATCTATCTATCTATCTATCTATCTATCTATCTATCTATCTATCTATCCGTCTATCTGTCTGTCTATCTATCTATCAGTCAATCGATCTCTCCGGAACATTATTTCGCTCTCCTCTTGTAACATTTTTTAAAACTTGTCTTAAAAGAATATTTCTCTCTTTCCAAAC